ATAAATTTCCAAATGTCAAAGAGTATTTGTGAGGGGAAACAGTTGAAAATATATCAGAAATATAAAGTATGGATGTTAGATATTACTTATGAATAATAATAATTAATTTAATATAATATAAATATAATTCATTATTTGCAAATTCGATTTATATTTATCATTAAAGTATTAATTATTTGTATAAGTATAAATTTGTTAAGAAACTTATTGTTTAGGAAAGAAACACTTTCTTTTTAACTTTTCTTAAATTGCGGCTTTGTAATATTTTAAAAGTTATATTTGTTGGACTCTATTGTTCATTTAATATAAGAATAGAGAAATATTTTTAAATTTTTATAAAACCTCTATAAAAGAAAAATATTGAAATTTCACAATTTTGTGCATATCTATTTCAGGAACTTTCGGCAAAGCTGGGCGACGACAAATCGCTATCCGAGCACTTGAAGCTTCCACTTCAGAGAATCAACGACTATAAGCTTCTGTTTAAGGTTTGGCATGTATATTAATTGTTTGTGTTTGTTTTACTAAAATTAATATGGATGCACGCCTAATTTGTAACAGAGAAATTAATATAATTTTTTGTATTTGAAATTAATTAACTGGTTTAATGTTTAATCCACAGGACCTAATTAAACTATCTCAATGCTTCAAAGATAATGTTAGGGACTTGGAGAGAGCTTTAGAACTAATGCTTAGCGTGCCAAGTAGAGCCTATGATAATATATATATATCGAGTATTGAGGGCTATAGAGGTAACATACAGAAGTTGGGCAGGTTGTTGCTGCATGAGCCTTGCTTGGTTACAGAGAAGGATGGTAAAACCCATGAACGATATTGCTTCCTGTTCAAGTCTAGAATTTTAATAACAAAAGTTCGCAAAATCTCTGATAAGAAATCGATATTTATTTTGCAAAATATCATTAAGCTTCCGCTGTGCAATATTGAGGATCAAATTGAAGAGAAGCGCTTATTTCTCTCAAGCAAATCTCCAGACGAATCGAACAATTTGCATCTGTTCATTAAGCCCCACAACGAGGAGGGTCATCGGGTTTGGTATAATGAAATCCAGTCCTATATCAATCACGTCGTGACTCTGCAAGAGCACGCTGCAGACGATCTGAAAGTAGATTCGGCAAATATTGCCAGCGAGAATGAACTAATACTTCGTCTGCCCCACAAGGTCGAGGCGTATCAGCCCAATTTAGATATACGTCCCTCGGACGTGGCCGAAAACTACTTCTTGAGCAAGGAAACCAAGGAACGCCTGCTCTTCGAGGAGCAGCAGCTGAAGAAAATCGAACAGGAAGCTTACGAGCTATTCAAGGCCCAGCAGAATATACAAAATAGTGCACAGCAAAATATCATACAGCAAAATATCGTACAGCAAAATATCGAAATAAGTACAGCAAAAGAGATTCGAACTGAGCAAAAGGTGGCCAGCCAAAGCTATTCGAAAACCGAATCCAATAAGAGCGAAGTTAAACTAACAACATCCACTCTAGATAAACAAGAGTCTGTGGCGCCTGCAGTGCTGCTTGAGTCTAGCGCATTTAAAAGATCGGCGATTGAGTCTAAAGATTCTCCTGAAAATAGGAAAGAAGAAAAAGAAAAGTCTAAAGTAGAAGTTCAGGAGAATGTTGCCCAGACATTAGTAGAGCAAAAGCTTGACTCTAGCATAGAATCAAACAAGCCTGATAAAGTTGTAGAACAACATCCAATTAAAATTAAAGAAACTAGTGAAATAGAGAAATCTCAAAAGCTTGAAACTAGAGACGATATCAGAGAGATAAAGAAATCTCAAAAGCTTGAAACTAGAGAAGAGATTAGAGAGATAGAGAGATCTCAAAAGCTTGAAACTAGAGACGAGATTAGAGAGATAGAGAAATCTCAAAAGATTGAAACTAGAGATGTTATTAGTGAGATAGAGAAATCTCATCAACAAGAAACTCTAACCGAGGGTAAGAACACAGAAGATATCAACTCCTCTTATACAGAAATAACTGTACAAATTCCAATAAGCAATCCAATAGAAACTTTAAGCCATTCACATGACACCCATAACAAGAACAAAATCGAGTTGGCAAACATACCCGGCTACAATGAATCGATGTACGATAGCGATAGCGTTCAGCAAACCTCTAAACAACGAGACGAACATCAGAGCATTACTAATATAACCGATTCAGCTTCATTAACGCAATGGAATAATCGACTTGCCGATATTGCTTTCAGGAATGGGGGCGAACGTTCTGCACAAGGTCCACCCCCACCACCCTTACCACCTCATTTTGTTCGAATGCCTGGCTTCTTTCAACCGCTTCCGCTTATATCGTATGAAACCACCGTAGAAATACTAATTATTAAAGCTCGCCCACCATCACCGCCACCGCGACCTCCGCCGCCCATTAAACGCGTGCTCGTGCACAACGAGAGTTTAGAACAGAAATCACAGAATTTTCTGGAGGGTATCTATGACGTATCAACCTCAGACACATCGCTGCGCAATGCTAAGCAAAAGATACGAAATATTAAGACAGCGGTCTTAAAATCAGCCGATTCAACCAATTACGCCCAAGATACGGTTAAAAAGGCAAAAGCTCGCGACTTTGTACATATTTTTAATCCGCCTATTCGAAAGAAACGACCCATTTTTGAAATTGTTGAAGAGCCTGTAAATATTTGCGAAATTGAAGGGGACTATACTGAATCTATTGCTGACGATTTCAGAGACTCAAGTGTTGACCTCGAGGCACGCGGCAGAAGTGTTTGCAGTATGGATGATAACTATTCCAGTTACTCACTGGCAACCAAACGGCGCATCGAGAGTAAGTTTCAATTGACCAATAACGGGAAAAAGTAATCGATAAATGTGTGTGATACGATATTGAAGGTTCTCAAAAACGAATTGATGTAAGCCAAAGTCTAGATTCTGACGAGTCCAGTCTATGATTGATTCAAATACGAAATATGTGTTGATATGTAATAGATGCCTTGTGTTCTAAACATCCGAAAAAGTATTATAATATTTTGTTTACGTTTTAGCAAACATACATATATACGAACATTAACCGAGTTTGTGTTGAATGTTTCCTACCTTCTGGCATAAAAAATATATACATGTATATCATTAAATATTTATTTTATATTGAATTTAAGCACGAAAAAGTAGATAATCTGCTACCAAATATTCCTTATCCAGTCTTTGATGATGCTTTTGATGCTGTTTTTTTTCCCCCTTTTAATATGGTATAGATCAATTTGTAATATTGAATTATCTATTTATCATGGATTATTTAGGTGGAATAGCAATATTTTAAAATGTATAAACAGGGTTTCCTTGAGAAACCAGTTAACCTGAGCTGTTTCTTACACCCAATTTTCATAAATAGTACAAAACCGGAATGAAACACATATTATGCTCATTAACTTTAGGATGTTTCAAAAAATCTGAGCTGATTTGAACTTTAAACTTTCATAGGTCAAGTACCTTCGGAAAAGTATAGAATGTCCCATTACCATTCTTTATTCCCTCTCTTTGCATAATTTGTTTTATTCCAAACGGACTTAACCAACATATTTCGAAATGATCCTTCATCTATCGTTAAAAATATTGTGATATTAGACAAAAATTTGAAAAGAGCTGTAGGTCAATCGAGTAGATCTACAATCAATCTATAAAACCAGATCGACTGGTTGAAGGGTAGGTGAACAGCTATCCACCCGCAAATTGTTTTTCCTAGTTTCCCTGCCTCTTTTAACATCCACATAAATTGTTTTGTTTTTTATAGCCCAAAGTTAATTGCAGTAATATGAGAGGGCTGCCAATTTTAATTATATTATTCAAAATTTCGATTAAAAAAATTAATTGTTGAAATAATAATTTTATCTGAAATTTATGTAGCTGATTCACTGGAGTTCAAAGCGTTTTAGCAATTCCTATAAGTGAAGAAGAGCTTTAGATATATGGAAATAAATACAAATTGTTTTTATATATCTTACCGATCTATATTTGATTAGCATGTGATGCAGAGAAATATATAAGATATTGACAACTGGCAGCCCTCTGTAGTAGTCGTTATAATATCCATATATATCCTTGCTTATCCAGTTTCCTGAATATCATATATCTATATCTGTTTTCTCCGAACTAAATTGTCGCATTCTATAATTTGTATTACATGCATATTTTTATTATTTTACATTCAATTAACCTCTGGCACATAAAGAAACGAGTAGGTACAAGGACTATGATAGGGGCACCTCCTACGATAGTACTGTAGAGAACAAGCACTATGGCATTAGCTCTAGACGTGAGCGAACAACTTTAGATAGAACTGAAGGACACTCACACCTATTGTCAGCTAGTCGTGCCGAGAGTCGTGCGGAGAGTCGTGCCGAAAGCCGCGCCGAGAGCCGTGCCGAGAGTCGAGCCGAAAGCCGTGCGTCCTACTTGCAAAGCTCAACGTATAAACGTTCGGACGATTTGCCACCGCGCTCGATTGAGAAGCCCGTCATAAACAAAATGCTGAAGAGCGTCCACGTCGAGAGTAAGTTAACTAAATTTAAATTTTATAAAATTGTTTATAAAATCTTCACTTTTATTACAGGTGGTGAGACTGCGCATTTTGAGATCCAGTTCAACGAGCAGCCAGGCTCTGTTACGTGGCTCAAGGATAACAAGGCCTTGGATGATCGTCTAGCGGATCGCATTGTACAAACAAGCGCTCCAATGAATTCATATCGTTTGGATATTAAAAATTGCAGGTGATTTATCGTTGATCTGTGGCCTTGACCTACTACGTATCATGAATGTGTTACTTCTTTAGATAATAAAATGAAATCTTAAATTTTTAGTGAGAATGACGCTGGAACATATACTGTTCGCGCGCAGACTGCAGCCGAAACAACAACTGTTACCGCTCAGCTGGCTGTGGGACAAGGTAAGTTTTATAAACTATTTAATTTTTATTCATTTTTATTTTAATTGAGCATATATTTTTTAATAATTGGTACAGTTGGTGGTCATGACGAAACGAAGACCAATATTGCGCCCGCATTCTTAGTTAGTTTGAAGGATACTGAAATGATTGAGAATACTCTGTTTCGGTTTATGGTCAAAATCTTGGGCGATCCAAAGCCCAGAGTTAAGTTGTAAGTACAACCATATAGTTTTTAAATCTGTATAACCTATTGTGTTCTCGTTACTTATATGATGTTAATAATTTACGCTGTTTTCCCTTATAAAATAGGGTCTTAACATTTTCTTATAAAAATATGATCTTATGTCGAATCACTGTAATGTAGAATCAAAAGTGAGCGACTTTCTAAAATATTCCAGTATAATTTTGAATTTTGAGCAAATAAATTTAATGTTTAGTTGAGTTTGAGCCATAGTTCCTTTGTATAATTAATCATATTTGATTGAGATCTATTAAGATCAACCTTCTGACTTGGCCTTCTTTATGCAAAACTAGGTGAGTATAAGAGAAAGCTGCCAAATTTTGTATGTAGATTCTGCACAGAATTGGAATGTGGCAATTTTAAGATAAAGTTCCTTAAGCTATAAAAACAATGCATTTTTAGTAAACGTAGAAAAGTAGAAGGCAATGAGAGTCCTGGCACTTGCATTAGATATATGCTCTGCATATTTCTTTATTAAAAATGTTTAATCAAAGTTTTGCAAACATATTTGATTTTTATATTTTATTTTTATTTTTATTTTTTTTTATATCTTACATATTGCATTTTATATTTATATTTCATAAATTTTATTTTCAATTTTTTAGCTATAAGAACGATAAGGAAATTCTTGAAACGGATGACAGAATTCAAATCATACGTGAAAAGGATTACCTGGGCTTCTATGAGTTAGTCATTGCCGAAGTGCAGCCGGAAGATGCTGGAGTCTATAGCTGCAAAGCAGTTAACAAGTTTGGCGAAGCCAGCTGCGAGGCAAAAGCAACTACTGTGGGTACGTAAATAACACTCCACCATAACTAGATAAATCAATTTACTATTCGATTTAATTTTAATAACATTTCATACTTCATTATTTACGTTTCTTTTTCAGACTTTAAGAATCCCTTTGGTGCTCTGAGTGGTCAGATTTTGCAGAGTGGAGAAAAGTCGATATTTTCCTGGAAGCGAAACGGAGAACCTTTCGATCCCGAAGAACGCTTCAAAGTGCTCTTTGGCGAGGATGAGGATTCGCTAGCTTTGGTATTCCAGCACGTCAAGCCCGAAGATGCTGGCTTATACACGTGTGTGGCCCAGACATCAACGGGAAATATCTCGTGCAGCGCCGAGCTGTCCGTTCAGGGCGCTATTCAGACCCTGAACAGGGAACCGGAGAAACCAACCTTGGTTATTGAGCATCGCGAGGCGAACACCAGCATTGGCGCCACGGCCATACTGGAGCTGCAGTGCAAGGGCTTCCCCAAGCCAGCTGTACTTTGGAAGCATGAAGGTGAAGTCGTCCAAGTCGACGACAGACACAAGTTCATGTTTGAAGACGAGGAGAGTATGTCTCTGGTTATAAAGAGCATAAACACTGAAGATGCTGGCGAATATACCATCGAAGCGGTGAATGAGCTTGGACAGGATACAAGCTCCATTAATTTGACTGTTAAGGGTAAGAGATTTATATGAATATAATAATTTAACTTTTTATAAATTTTATACGTATATTTTCTTCCTTCAGCTCCACCAAAAGTAAAGAAAATCGAGAATATTGTTTGTACAGCTGGCGAAACAGTGCGCATGGAGATCGAAGTTGAGGGATTCCCGCAGCCGGATATAAATGTCACCAACAATGGCAAGGATATATCGGGTGAAAGTAATGTGAAGATTACAACAAAGTCCGTTGGCAAAGGCTCCATCAAGATTACTGTGGAGATTTCGGATATAAAGCTATCGCAGGCTGGCAACTATTCGATCAGAGCCACAAACGATCTGAGCCAGACGTCCGAGTATTGGAATTGTACCGTGAAGTCGAAGCCAATTATTGTGAAACACCTTGAGGAGGAATATATTCACGGCGAAAAGGAAACCGTACAGATGTCCGTGCGCGTTGATGCATTCCCGGAGCCAAAGCTGATTTGGTATCACGATCAAACTGAGATCAAGACCAGCGAGAAAAAATACAAGGTCGAGTCGGACGGCAATACGTATACCCTGAAAATCACTGGTGCCACTCGCGTGGATGCTGGCAAATATACGGCCAAGGCGGTCAATGAGCACGGATCGGCCACGAGCGAAACTCAGCTGCTGATGAAGTGCACCCCAGAGCTGACCAAGAAATTGCAGAACATCACCGTCAAGGAAGGTGAAACGAATGTAGAGCTAGCCGTGGGCATCGATGCCTATCCAGTGCCCAGCATCAAGTGGTTCATTGATGGCATCGAAATCGATGAGAAGCGAAATGAATTCCTTAAGACAACGGAAGGAAATGTTCATAAGCTGGTCATGAAGGAGGTCGCTGTCAACATGCAGGGAAATTACTGCTGCAAGATCATGAACGACTACGGCCAGATCGAGGACAACTGCTCGGTGACGGTCAACTGTGAGTTTATATGGGATATATATGAATATCAATATAGATATCATTTCCTCTTGAATTTCAGGCAAACCCAAAATAAGAAGAGCTCTCAAGGATGTTGAGGTCAAGGAAGGCAACTCGTTAACTCTAGAAGTTGAGATCTATAGCAATCCGGATGCCACTATCAAATGGTAGTTATTTTATTTGTTGATCTTTATTAATAGAATGCTTACTTTAATTTGATATTTGACTAATTTCAGGTTCAAGAATGGACACGAAATTCATGAGGATGCAAGAATTAAGATCACCAGAGATACGCAACGCATCGAAAATTACTATTTAACCTTGAATCTTGCCAAAGTTGAAGATGCGGGCACGTACGAGGTGAAGGCAGCCAATTTCATCGGCGAAACAACCTCAAGTTGCAAAGTTCAAGTTTTGAGTAAGTATATTTTTGCTAAGAATGTTAAGTTGGTATTGAAAAGTGTAAGCAGAGTACTGAGCAATTTTTCACATATTCGATATGATTTATTTTAATTCTTAAGAGATTTGTGAATGTTTTTTAGCTGATGGCAATCGAGTTTATCTGGCAGGAAGTTAATTGAACTTCGAATTTAAATTTCAACTGGTTTTTATAATATTAAATTTCAGTTTAAATTTGAATTAAAAGTTTGGGAAATTTCTGCTTTCAAATTATACTTTTAATAATCTACAAATCACAGACTTAAATCGCTTATAGAACGTAGACATTTTCTAGAACCTTTTAGCTAAATTCCAAATATCCTTTAAATAGTTTCTCATGTGCACATAGTCCTTTGATCGCATTTTCATTATTTTTAATCTTGTAGTGTTTAGTGATACATAAATCGGATTCCATTTCCCAAAATAAGCCTAGGTTGTATAAGAAGACTCATATACATAATGATCTCATACACAATTTGCTTCGCTTTAAGCTCGAGGCTTTTGTTATTCTACTTTCATTGGAGCAAGTTTACTTTCCTCTTAGAGCCAGTATACTTTCCCCTGAGAGCCAGTCTTCGATCTTTATGATACAATTTTTTCGATCTTTATATTAATATAATTTTTTTGTTATGTTATCTGTTATGAAATTGTCTACAGATTAATTGTTGAGATCTTAAGGAAAAGAGATTATTCTCTGTAATTTTCTTTTTTATTTGACAGATTAATTTATTATCGGGTAAAGTTTTTTTTATATTCTGCACAACTTTAAACTATCAGTATATTTAAGAAACTATATTAAATTTAAACATTTTTAATAAATTTAGCCAAAGACTGTTTATCCGTGGAAGAAACCGTGACAAAAACAATGCTCGCTACAACAGAGCAAGCTGAGGAAGGGGGTAAAACAAACAAAATTTCTAAATTCTAAATTCTACTAACTAATATACATAAAATGAATGACATGCTCTACATAAATGCTTCTCTTTAATAATGCTGTACAAATTTAGCTAGTTGGTAAGCAAAGTGAATGATATTGTCATAATATTTAAACGACATGTATATAGAATCTGTATAGAAATGAAGGATCCAAGACTGAGATGGTATGAACATGACCGAAAATTCACGATGTATAGTTTTGTGTATATATATATAAATAAATATATATATGTGTAGCAAATGTGCTTCCTCAATCCGAAGGTGAAGCCCATTGCAAAACGCATGAATCAAAAACATTGGGTATTGATAGAATCTAGTCTTAAGTGAATGTCTATGTGTATGCTTATGAAGACTTTCTTGCAAGATATCTTAACCAAAATTGCATCTCACATAATATGTAATACATAGATATAAAAGTGATCTGATCTACTTTGAGAAGAACTATATCTTAACCAACGGCGGCACGACTTAGCTCCTAACACATTTGATGTATGTGATATGAAAATCGACTTTGAAATCGATCGATTATAAATTCTTTTGTATATATAAATTCTTTACAGCAATTAACAAGTAAGAGTATTAACTCGCCGGTGTATGCACTATGAATATAAAATACGATATATTAATTAGTTGAATTTCAATTTTCTAGCTGTGCCTGAGATCGTACACATCGATGTCTTCCAAATACACAGCTTCGAAAGTGTTCCCCTCAAATATGAAGTTATTGCTAAGGGCATACCGAAGCCCGAGGCGATTTGGTATCACGATGACAAACCCATCGCAGCTGACAAACATTTCGCTATATCAAATGATGGGGTTGGTTTAAGGAAACGTTTATATTTCTCAAATACTAATAATATTATATACGTTAGGAACATTATAAGCTAGAAGTTAAGTCCCTGGAGCTAGCGGATGCCGGCGAATACAAGGTTGTTATAAAGAATAAAGTCGGTGAGAAGAGCCATAAGGGAGTACTCTCGCTCTCAGGTAAGACTAAGATTTTAAATAGACAAATTTGTTTCTAATATAATTTGTTAATTGTCTATTTCCCTAGGTGTTGCTGAGTATAGAAAACCTATATTGATCGCAGCCAGCGGCTTGCGCGATATCAAATTGAAGAAGGGAGAAACCGTTAATGAGGTTGTCGTATTCACGGCCGATCCATTGCCGGAGATCATTTTGCTGAAGGATGGCGTACCAGTTAGTGGAGACAAGAAGAATATATTGAAGACTGAAACAAAAGAATTGGAGAACGGCTTGATACAATATACGTGCACCCTAAACATCAAGGATGGTAAGAATTGATATAAGCCCATTGAAAGAAATTATCTAAATATTGATGATAGAATATTTAGTAGTTATAAGCCTTCATCTCCCATTCGAGCTCAACTATCTCTTTATTTCCCCAGCCGACATCAAAGACTCTGGCCGCTACGAGCTCAAGGCAAAGAACAAGTATGGCGAGATGGCCACAAGCGGCTATATCGATGTGCTATCCAAGCCTGAAATTACCGGTTTGGTGAATCACAAATGCCTGCCCGGACAGTCGGTGTGCTTTGAGGCTATCGTGCTCGCCAATCCGAAGCCAAAGGTGTCCTGGACCCGGGGCAATGAGAACCTGTGCAACAATGAGAGCTGTGAGGTTATCGCCGATGTTGATGCCGATAAGTACAGAATCGTGTTCCAATCGGTGACGCCAAAAGATGATGGCAAATACGCCATAGCTGCTATCAATTCAGAAGGCAGAGCTGATGCAGAGTTCAATTTGAATGTGCTAGGTAAAGCTATATGTTCTTAAACTATTTAAAAACAATATTATCACTAATTATAAACCCATTGCAGTTGAAAAGCCCGCCTTTATAGTGCCCCCAGAGGCCCAGGCCATTCACGACTTCCACCCGGTCACCACAAAGGTTGTCGTACACGGCGTACCAGCACCGGCTCTACAATGGCTCAAGGATGGCAAGCCAATTGATCTTGAAGCTGTCGATAAGCAAACACAGCAGAAGGTCTATCTGGTCAAATCCTCAAACCCTACAACAGATCAGGTCGAGGGCATACTCGAAATACCCAAATTCAAGGAAAATGTCGCTGGAACGGTATGATTAACTTCCTTGCAAAACGAATCCCTTTGAAACGAAATCAATGTCTTTATAGTACACCTGCGTGGCCAAAAACGAAATTGGTGAGACTAAAGTTCCATTTGAATTGACTATGCAAGCGCTGGCTCCGAGCTTTACCAAAAAACTGAACAGTGCATTGGATGCGCAACAGGGTGAGCCTCTCGTCCTGGAATGTGCTGTGGATGGCAGTCCTTTGCCCACAATCCAATGGCTCAAGGATAGCGACGAAATCACACCAAATCCAAGGTACTTGGCGCATTTGAAAGCTTTTAAACTTAATATATCATCAACGAATACTCCGGCCTTGCTTTATAGAGTTAAAATGACGACCACGCCCGAGGGCTTAGTCAAATTGGAAATCAACAACTGTGAACCGAATGACTCAGGTGCCTACAAATTGGTTATTTCCAATCCGCATGGACAGAAGGTAGCCTTATGTGCTGTCGCAGTAAAGCGTAAGTATTAACCTACTATGATAGCTATTGCATATTTCTAAATTAAACAAATTCAATATTTAAATCTTACAGCCAAAGAAATGCAGCCCAAGTTCCTAAAGCCTTTCGAGAATCAATCAGTCACTGTTGGACAACCCCTGAAATTGAGCGCTGAAGTGACAGGTTTTCCTGCTCCCGAAATCAAGTGGTACAAGGATGGTCTACTCCTGCGGCCTAGCTCAAATATTGATTTCATCAACAATCCCAACGGACAAATTGGCTTGATGTAAGCGAAGATAATTTATCTATTCAAATAGTCTTATTAATTATTTATATTTTCGACTACAGTGTTGATACAGTGGAGCCTGAAGACGCTGGTATTTACAAGTGTGTTATTGTCAACAAGGAGGGCGAGGCAGAAAATGCCGTGAAAGTTGAAGTAATCCCTAGAGAAGCGAAGCCCACATTTGTTGCCGAGCTGCAAGATGCCTCGAGTGTTGAAGGATTCCCAGTGAAGATGGACATTAAGGTTCTAGGTTTTCCAAAGCCGAAACTCCAGTGGTTCCATAATGGTCATGAGATCTTGCCCGATAATAAGCATGTTGCCATTCTGGAAAATCCGGACAACACTTTCAGCCTTATTATAGACAAGACTCTGCCAACGGACTCGGGATTGTACGAAATTGTAGCACAAAATTCGGAGGGCTCAACTGCCTCGAAGGCTAAGCTCTATGTAGCACCGAAAATTGATGAAACTGTTGCAGAGGAAGCGCCCCAATTCGTCTCTGGACTACGCGATGTCAATGCAGATGAAGGCAAAGAACTGGTGCTATCTGCGCCATTCATTGCCAACCCGATGCCTGAGATCATGTGGTCCAAGGATGGCGTTCCACTGGCACCCAGCGAACGTTTGCTGATGACCTGTGATGGAAAGCACGCGGGTCTAACCATAAGCCCCGTGGAAACCTCCGACTCCGGCACCTACAGCTGCCTGCTGGCCAATCCCTTGGGCGAGGACTCGTCTCAGTGCAATGCGAACGTCAGGAAAGTCTACAAGGCGCCAATATTCACGCAAAAGATATCGGATCAGCAGCAAGCTTTTGGAAACAATGCCAAGATTCCAGTTACGGTCTCTGGCGTTCCATATCCAGAGCTCACGTGGTTCTTCGATAATAAGCCCATAGAGGAGTCAAGCAAATACTCGATCAAAAATGATGGCGATCATCATATGCTGATTGTGAATGATTGTCAAGCCTCTGATAAGGGCGAATACAAGTGTATTGCCTCGAATAGGGAGGGCAAAGACATTACACAGGGTCGTCTGGAAGTCGTTAATGAAGTGTAATTATATTCGTTATACATATATCAAATCTCCAATCAATTTTAATTATTATAAAATGTTTTTCTTTTAGCAAAAAGCATATGCGTTCCGAGCCCCCAGTATTTCTCAAGAAAATTGGCGATTGCGATGTCTACGATGGCATGTCGGCGAAGTTTACGGCTTGTGCAACAGGCTATCCAGAGCCGGAGGTGGAATGGTTCAAGAACGATCAAAGACTATTCCCATCTGATAGAATTGATATTGAAAAGGAATCGAATGGTCTTCTGCGCTTATCCATCAAAAATGTCAACGAATTTGATGTGGGACGCTATTCCTGTCGCATCTACAATCCCTATGGAGATGATATCTGTCATGCCGAGTTATTTTATGATGGTAAGTCTAACTGTAGTTATTTTGGTGCTTTCCCCCTTCTAAAATTCCTGTTTATTCTTCAAATAGTTATTGACTCTCATCAACGTCCATTGGGCGAGCAGTATAGCGACTTCAAGCAATACAAGAAAACCGGTGCTCCACCACCGTTGCCCGAAGGTCCTATTATATCCCGTATGACCGATAGACGTCTGCTTTTGTCCTGGAAACCGTCGGTGCCATTGACGCCGAGATATCCAGTTACATATCAGGTATGTTTATAATTTTATTATTTACTTAGAAACCAAATTTTAATTATGTATGTTTTCTATATTTTTAGGTGGAAAGACTAGACTTACCAGATGGCGACTGGCATACCTTGAGAACTGGTATTCGAGGCTGCAGCTATGATATTAGAAACTTGGACCCACTTAGAGATTACAAGTTCAGAATTCGCGTAGAGAACAAATTTGGCGTCAGCGATCCAAGTCCATACACTCAGACATTTAGGTAACTATAGAAGTTTTTACTAGCCTCGATTATTTAATACAATTTGATTTATTTCTTTTAGGCAAAATCTTATACCGGAGCCTAAGAAGACTTACACTTATCTGCCACCTGGCACTGACTTTAGACCGGATACTTCACCCTATTTTCCAAAGGACTTTGATATTGAACGTCCACCTCACGATGGTTTGGCTCAGGCTCCTCAGTAAGTGACTTTAGAGCAAACTTATGAATATACTATAATTTATTGATATATCTAGATTTTTACTGCGTGAGAATGAGGTCTCGTATGGCGTCAAGGGACACAACACAGAGCTTATGTGGTTCGTTTATGGTTATCCGAAACCAAAGATGACCTACTACTTTAACGATAGTCTAATTGAACCCGGCGGAAGATTCGATTACAGCTACACACGTAATGGACAGGCTACGCTATTTATAAATAAGTAAGTTGCTTAGATATTACCGATGGTACATAAATAAGTAATCCCTTCTCCCACAGCATGTTAGATCGCGATGTTGGATGGTATGAAGCAGTGGCGACCAATGAGCATGGCAAGGCTAGGCAACGAGTTCGTCTGGAAATCGCCGAATATCCACGATTCACGAAGCGTCCCAATGAAACGTTCATCATGTCGCGCAAGAATGGACGCATTGAGGCCAGGATAACTGGAATTCCGCTACCGGAAGTACATTGGTATAAGGATTGGAAGCTTATAACTGAAACATCACGCATTAAGATTCACTCATATGATCCCGATGTCTACATTCTTGCCATACACGACTCCATAATAAAGGATGGAGGTCTCTACTCGGTGAGCGCACGAAATATTGCCGGATCCATTAGCACCTCAGTCACTGTGCATATTGAGGAAAATGAGGATCAATATATCTACAAGACCTATGGCAGGCATCCATATGTACGCTCGAAGCAATTGCGATATGAGGACAAATACGATATTGGCGATGAGTTAGGTCGCGGCACTCAGGGCATCACATATCACGCGGTGGAGCGCGCCACTGGCGACAATTATGCGGCAAAGATCATGCACGGACGACCAGAACTGCGGCCCTTCATGTTGAATGAACTGGATATGATGAACATGTTCAATCACAGGAACCTGATACGCCCCTACGATGCGTATGAGAATGATCGCGGCGTAACGCTCATACTCGAGCTGGCAGCCGGAGGCGAACTTGTCAGGGACAATTTGCTTACGAGGAACTACTACACCGAGCGAGACATTGCCAATTATATACGCCAGACTTTGTATGGCTTGGAGCATATGCACGATTTGGGCGTAGGCCATATGGGCTTAACGGTAAATATTATGTAACTTAATTATATAGGGATTTATATTAAATATGTATCTTTCTTTTCAGATCAAAGACCTGCTGATTTCTGTCGTAGGCAGCGATTTCATCAAGGTATCTGACTTTGGTCTTTCGCGCAAAATAAATAAGCACAATTTATCCACACTGGATTATGGAATGCCAGAGTTTGTCTCTCCGGAAGTCGTTAACAAGGAAGGCGTCAGCTTCTCCCACGACATGTGGACAGTTGGCTTGATCACATATATTCTGCTCGGTGGCAGAAATCCCTTCATGGGCGCCGACGATAGAGAAACCTTGACCAAAATTCGTGAGGGTCGCTGGGACTTTTCCGATTCCATTTGGACCCATATCTCTGAGGATGGTCGCGACTTTATAAGCCGACTGCTGCTGTACAGCCCCGAGGAGCGTATGGATATTAAGACCGCATTGAAGCATCCGTGGTTCTTTATGCTCGATAGAAAAGCATCCGATGAAGATTATCAAATTGGTACGGATCGCTTGAGGCACTATTATGATCACTTCAGGGATTGGTATGCAAATGCCTCCTGCAAGAACTACTTCCGTCGTCGTCGCCTCAGTGGCTGCTTCCAGCATCCCTCGAAAATGGTGTATCCTCCTGGACACTCGTACACACCTGAAAATACGCCCGAGCCCTTCATCGAACCAAGAACCAGAACTAAGGAAGTTGTCTCCAAATTCTTGCATCCCGACTATGAGCTGGGTCTCATCTCATCTGAGAGCCAGTAAGTACAATTACAAGTAAAGTCAATAATTATATTAATAATTTATGGTTTTTCTTACAGCTATCAATATGGACCCGATACCTATTTACTGCAGCTAAGAGATGTCAGCTTCCCAGTGAGGCTACGCGAGTACATGAAGGTCGCCCACAGGCGTTCTCCATCATTTGCTATTAACGATTCGGTTGATTGGTCGGTAAGTATTAGTAGTAAGTATTAGCAAAGTAAAGAAATCACGAATAACCCATTCAATATTATTTTCAGCTGCCCGTGATCCGCGAAAGACGTCGCTTCACTGATATAATGGATGAGGAAATCGATGATGAGCGCACCAGGAGCCGTATTAGCATGTATTCCGCTAATGATTCGTACTCCATTCGACGCCTGCGAACTGAGCTGGGACCTCGTTTGAATGAGTATACCGAGGCAGATGCGTTGATCGAGACTCAGCGCGAGGGCTATCCACCCTTCTTCCGAGAGAAGCCACAAACAATTGCGATTACAGAAAATCGGCCAGCGCATATTCACTGCTTTGCGGTGGGCGATCCGAAGCCGTGCGTGCAGTGGTTCAAGAACGATATGGTCATCACTGAGAGCAAACGTATCAAGATCACTTTCGATGAGGATGGCCGTTCGATACTGCGCTTCGAGCCAGCCAGTCACTTCGATGTTGGCATCTATAAGGCTGTCGCCAGGAATAAGGTTGGCCAGACTGTGGCCAGATGTCGCATAGTAATTGCAACGCTGCCCGATGCACCCGACTCGCCTGAGGTTTCGGCAACGAGTGCCACAGAAATTCTGCTGAGATGGAAGCAGCCACGCGACGATGGACACTCGCCCGTCATGTGCTATAGTCTGCAATACAAAACGCAAAACTCTGATGCCTGGACCACTGTGGCCGATAACATTGATCACGAATTTTATCTGTTGCACGAACTGCAGCCCAACACGAATTATCAAATTCGACTTGCGTCGAAGAATCGCATCGGCTGGAGTGACATGGGAATTCCCGTGAATGCAACAACTGCTGGCACGGATGCACCCAAGGTCCACATTACGAAGGCCATGAAGCACTTGCAAATGCTGACGGAGAAGGGTCAAGAGGTGGTGCTCGAGGAGGAGCGCGTGCACATGGACTACCATTGCGAGCGCGAGCCACCCAACTGGGTGACCGATGTGTCCGTCAGTGATAAGTACAGCTTCATTTCGGAGATTGCACGCGGAGAGTTCAGCACAATTGTGAAGGGAATCCAGAAATCCACAGATACAGTTATTGTGGCAAAGATCTTTGAAGTCACCGACGAGAATGAGGAGGCAGTGGTCGCTGAATTTGATAACTTCAAGACCCTAAGGCACGAGCGCATACCCGCCCTGTTTGGCGCCTACAAGCCAATGAATGTCCCGATCGCAATATTTGTGATGGAAAAACTTCAGGGCGCCGACGTGTTGACCTATTTCTCGAGCCGCCATGAGTACTCCGAGCAAATGGTGGCATGCGTTATCACTCAGCTCCTGGATGCCCTGCAATACTTGCACTGGCGCGGATATTGCCACCTAAACATACAACCCGACAATGTTGTCATGGCCTCAGTTAGATCAATTCAAGTGAAGCTCGTGGACTTTGGCTCAGCAAAGAAGGTGAACAAGTTGGGCATGAAGATAGCGCCGACTGGCATGCTGGACTTCCAGCCACCAGAAATGATCAACGACGAACCAGTCTTCCCCCAGAGCGACATTTGGTCGATGGGCGTACTAGTCTACATGCTTCTATCCGGCACTAGTCCATTCCGTGGCGCCGACGACTACGAGACTCAACAAAACATTTCCTTCGTGCGCTATCGTTTTGAGAATCTCTTCAAGGAAGTTACTCCGGAAGCAACTAGATTCATTATGCAACTCTTTAAGCGACATCCCACGTAAGAGAATATCTTTCTAGAATTCACAATTCAATTAATACATTACCTATTTTAATTACAGGAAACGACCATACACAGATGACTGTCTGGAGCACAGATGGCTGATGTCTTCCGATTATATGGTTAGAAAGCGTGAGCGCGCCGTATTCTTAGGCTGTCGACTGAAGGTAAGTTTTGAATATTACCGATATGGATTTCTATTGATTGTTTTTAAATATTACTTTTCACAGACCATTTCCGATGAATACCATGAATATAAGAACAAAGCTGCTTCAACCTCCAAAGCCTTCTATGCGGTTGAAGGCGCACCCACACCATCTCAACTACTTCGGTCGAACAGCATTCAAGAGGAATTGCTCACAACGTTTTAGATAAACTGAAAAAAATAACACCAAAAAAAATTAACTACGAATATTTCTATATTTCAGCACATAAATAAACAAAACAAAAAAAAAAAAAAAGAAAAGAAAAGAAAACGAATTTAAAATGAGATTATAATCATAAATGTTGTTGTCAATAAATTAAAGCTTTTCGCAAAATCAAATACTTTAATGAAAGAAATATGTAAAAGTTTGGTATATTTTTTATTTCTTGTTAATTTAACTGTTAACAACCTCATAATACAGCTCTCTCACTCTAACATGTGGTTTTTCTTCAGAAAGTTTATCTGATTGGAATGTTACTGTGGCAATACGTTATTCCAATTGGATAAGCGTTCTTAAGCTGTTTATATTTTCTAATTTCGCGGCAAGCAGGCAAAAATCGCAGCGGAAATATCGATTTATCGTTCAGTTGAGATTTTCTTGACATCTCTAGCCATTTTGTCCTAATTGTTATTGATTTTTAGCAAAATACAACTTATTCATTTATAAAATTAAATTATAATAAAAATACTTTTGTATAAATATGTGCTGTGTATTATTTTTAAGGTTTCCATTCAGTGTTTTTTAGCATATATTTAATATATGTACATACAATAGAATATAACTACATAAATATATCATCTACATATATACAAATGACAATATCTTGAAAAGGTGAACTAAATAATGCATAGATAATGCATGATATAGATATTAGATTAACTGCTTCAACTAAAACTAATTCCTCAATCAGGTACAACGCAGCTGCTTGAAATGGCAAAGTTCCCGTTATTCAACATCAGCCGGAAAAACGAAACATATCCAGCGAACTTCAATATCAAATGCAAATCTCAATTGCTGGAGGAGCATGAGAGCGTTAAATTAATTATAAATCGTCGCGTCGCAGTCCATCCAATGAAGTGGCCTTTGCTGCGCTGTAAATGGCAAAAAAAGCTGACGCTGTCGTTGACGCTTTTTCTTATTTGCCTGCTAATCATTTTCGCCTACTCGGATGAGTTTCGGAATAAGGTCTTCTCCGTATTTCTGTCGAATCGATTTGGCCAAGTGACAAACATTAGCAAACTGCAAACAGCCTTTGCGAATAGTAACCAAGAACCAAATACATCGAATCAGCAGCACTTGAAGCCAATGCAATATATATTAAACTATTCGGCAGCTCAACTGAACCACAGTTCGATTCTGAAGCCCATCACATCGAACTACAATATATTCGTAATCTATACCAGAGAGAACTATAGATTGCATATGAAATTCGATCTGTTCATACATAGTCTGTTCAAGCATACCAATGCTCAGCTGCATTTACATGTGATCACGGATAAGGAGAGCGAGGTGGCTGTGCTGGAGATACTGCAGCGCAAGGTGCGACGCTTCAAGCGAGTTTTGATCTACTCCATGTATAATATACAAATCTGTTCGAATATAATTCAAGATATAACTGACAAATTGTCGCCGTACTTTAGCTCAGCGCCCAATTCGTATTATAGTGATTCGCTTTTTTTTATGTCGCTCGGCCTGCATCGCATCGCCGACGCGAGCCTCAGTCGTGCTATTCTCTTCGATTGTGATATTGTCTTTCGGTCAGATATTCGTTTGCTTTTCGCAGAATTTGATCGGTTTTTGCCGAATCAACTATTTGGTCTGGCGCCCGAACTAACGCCAGTTTATAGGCATATACTGTACCGGTATCGTACGCAGTTTCCCGAATCGAATTTCGGAAATCCATATCAACCGATACAAATAGGCAAAAATAAAAATAATAATAATAATATTAAGAATAAGAATAATAAATTGTTAACTAGTCGTAGCCAGGAACGTCATGGTTACCCGGGCCTTAATTCCGGCGTAGTGCTTATACTCCTAAACCGAATCCGAGATTCCAGTACGTATATCGAAATACTCACGCAGTATGAAATCAATCGTCTAGTGACAAAGTATTCCTTCAAGGGTCACCTCGGGGACCAAGACTTTTTTACACTCCTAGGCTATGAGTACCCGACTTTAATCTATCGGCTGGACTGTGTCTGGAACCGACAGCTCTGCACCTGGTGGAAGGATCACGGCTACAGTAACATATTCGATGCGTATTTCCGCTGTGATGGCAACATCAAAATGTACCACGGCAATTGCAATACGCGAATTCCAGAGTAATGCGAACGTGTACAATAACGTATTTAGGAACTGAGAGAGAGAGGCATGCGAAATCGCGCTTTAATGTATTTTGGGTGATATATTTGGAGATAGCTAGGAAAAGCCTCTCTCTCTCTCGTCTGAGCTACTCTCTTATACCCACTCTCCATTGATCCCTGCGATCGTCTTATTAACATTTAGACTTAAACATAAAACAATATAAATTGTAGATATAGCATAAATACAAATCTTATGAATAAAGTTAAATTGTTTACTACAATCTTCAAATCTAAATGACGTTTCTTTTGATGTTATAAAGCGAGTATGTGAGTGATAAGCAAATCTTAATAGCTGTGCTGTCAAAAAGGGGACTTACTTTTTAAGCTGCAATATATCTAAACTTTGTTTTATTCTAATATCTATGATGCATTATCTATTTTAAACTATTTCAAGAAGTGACATTTTAAGCTCGACTCTAGTACTTTCGAAAAAACTACAAAAGTTTTGATTTATTTTATGACGTATAATTATATTATGATTGCATATGCGAGGGTGGTTTGAAAACTTACAGAGCTTCGCTGCTAAAGATTTGCAAATAAAATATTTAATTTTAAAATATTTGTATTGAATCCACATTTAGTTTCTATATTTACTATTTTCTCACTAAAATCAAAAAACCAGGAATTCAGTTATAGATTTCGTATATTTATGTATAAGAGGAATGATCTATTATTATATCAATCACGTCTATACATTTGTAGTTTCCGTGTTCGTGGAATTTATATAAAACTAAAAAGCGCGTTGACTGACAGGCAACGCGAATCACGTCAACTTGACTCATTCATTAGATCTGGAATATGTTAACTCCATAGCATATATAATTGTAGTATATATACATTTACGATTGCCAATAATCATTTTAAATGAGTTTTCTGTGTAATAAAACGGTTGCGTAAATGGCTTCGCCTTTTAGGAAGGCTAAGCAATGATTCATAGATTACCGTTGGAAAATTGAGTTCTCTTAGCTTTAAGGGTTCTGTATTGAATGTTATGATCATATTTTCCAATGTTTACCAAAGAAATAAAATCAAAAACAGAATAGTCCACATTACATATACACATATTATACATATCCATTTTCCGAATGGAATAAAAAAACCAAAATATTCATGAGCAATATACTTTTAATGCATACTTGACGCACTTATATCATACCATTTATCCTATAAGTTGTAACAGAATGGACTAAGCTTAACGTTTTGTTTTTAACAAAAGAAAATATCCAGACTCCCAATCGATAGCTTTTTACAAAAATAAACATTTATTTTGTGTATAGATCATTCTTAAAAGCCCAAATATCACTAGAATTTAGATAGGTATTCCTGCCTTTTGTGCCTGTGCCCTATAACGCTTAATGTAGACCTCATCTGGATCATATTTAGCCTGCAGCACCTTCCATTCCTCTGGCTTCTTATCGATCACGTAGCGTATGACCTTGTCGGTGTTCTGCTTTTGCTTCTCACTGCATTTGCTGCACTCGGTGAGCAAAGCGTCAGGCAGGGATTTCTTCAGCTCGCGGGCGTCGGGCGTGCACTTGCCCGTATCGACCAGGCACTTGAAGTAGTTTGTGAACAAACGATCCGATCTCAAGATTTCATCCACATCGATATTATCGTATTTTGTCGTGTATTTTTCGTCAGCTGCAACGCAGGCGATCGCCAGAGCAAGGAACAAAATGAACGACTTCATGCTGTAAATAAAGTAAGGAAAATGTATTTAAAATTAAATCTTAAAAGTAAAATTGAAATAAAATGCAAATAATAAATATATTATTTTATTTTATTTCAATTTTTTTTATAGTCAGTTATATATTATCCTTACTTCCTTTAAATCTTTTCTAAAATTTACAAATACTATTTTTTATTCATTTTAACTATTTATAAATAAATTATGAAAAAAGTAACAATAAATTTAAAATGTCAAATGTTTAGTTTTGCTTAATTTCTTTCTATCTTGAAACACGTTATTTAAGAATAATGAGCTCTTTCATTTAACACGAGTGACTAGCTCAGAGTTTAATGAGTGTCTATAAGTGCTCTGTTGACTTTTTATGTTAGTTACTAACAAGGCTAAGCCTCATTAACGGCTTACTTAATTACTTTAACTTGCCGAGCAGACATACTCATAAAGAAATATGTATACATACATATATAGATATATGGGTAGCATATATTTATATACATATGTATATTAATACATTTACTCAAGTAGTTAACGCATACAAGTTATGGATATATATCTACACACATATATATGCATATATGCATAATTTGTATACTAAGTAAAGTTGATATTGAAACTAAGTCAAGCATTGCACAACGAAAATTCGAATAACAACAATAAAAACAACACAATCGAAAAACGATCTAATTGAAATTCAAATATAGCCTTTTGTTTGGCCGGTTTACTTTTTTTTTTTTTTTTTTTTTTTTTTTTTTTTTTTTTTTGGTAGTAATATTAACCTTAAGTAACAACAATAACAACAGCGACAAACAAATTGAACAGACTCGAGAGCAACTAGTTGTGAAGTAGCGAAATATCTTTAACAAACTGGCGACGATTCCGACGAAGTTAGCTTTTATACTTGAGCAATGGCTGAGACAGTCAGATACGTCTGTCGATATTAACAAATATTTATAGTATATATAGCTATGAATATATATCTATAGATACATACAAACATACATATACTTATATATATTTGTAAGCATTTTGTATGAACTTTGATGTTTTAGACTTTAAAGCGTAAGGCCGTCTCGCTTGAATGTCAAATTGTGATTAGTGGAAATGCATTATTATCTTTGTATTTGTAATCTATCACATTTATTTAAATTACAAATTTACAAATTCACAAATTAAGATGCATCGGTATCATTACATGGCGATATGACTTATTTGATTTGTGCATATATTCATACATTTTAAAACAATAAAACAATAAAGCTACAAAAAAATTATAATAATACAACAATTAGGCCAAACCTATTCATTATATTTTCTGAACCTACTGCAATTGTTTACAAGGGGTATCATTAATATGTGCTTAAGTATGTAACAGATCGTAGCGAACATCTTATAAGGTATATTCATACGTACTTAGATCCAGCTAGCTCTCTCTAGTTTGTGTGTGTCAGGAAGAACGCCTTAGGTTACTTCTCAATATATTAAATCCTTTCTTTAAAACTATACCAAAATAAAAAAGAAATACATAGTTGCACATAATATATGTCAATATCTTATAAACTATTGAATTAAAGGAATAAAATTGTCCCCCTAACTTAAGCTAAAATAACTAGAAATCAATATGAAATGACGTGGGTAATTCATGTTTATTATAGCCTTCACTTCAAGGTATTTCTTAGTCAAGCATGCCCGACTACATAGATCTTACGTGATATGTTCGGCAATGTAAACACACTATTCATTATGGCGTATGCATTTCAGAGAATTGCAAACTTGTGTTAGAAAACTTGATAATTATTTCTTCAAATATTTTTTTCCACGGTAAATAAATTACAAATCGAATTACTTATCGTACAAATAACAATACAAATTATTAATTATTTATGCACTTTAATTCGTGAAATCCCCAGCGCTTGAAAATATGTTGACTTAATATCAATTTATGCAAGTAAGCTCCTCTAGACGGCAGTGCACTACTAGGTACACACCCTACAATAGTGAAAATACATAAACACCCAAATGACAAACCTGACTGATTTTTAAGAACTATCAAACTTTTTCATTCTAATAACGCCACACTTAATAACAATGCTATTGGAATATTATTGGTATTAAGACAATATATTATCTTTAAAATATAATTGATTTGCCGGCAATGAGCGTGGTCTAATTGATGCTATTCATTGAAATTCAATTATCCAGTTTGCTAACCTCTAAAATGAGGTTTTAAAATTAATTTTTCACTTTTAAATTCTAATCACCACATTTTTAATATTCATTAAAGAATATTCGTTTAAATCTTACATTAATAGATCATAACTATTAAATAATGTCCGAAACGAGATATATAAATGTATATATCAAATCAAACTAAGAGGAGAACCGGACTTAGCAATTTGAGATATGAAATGTAAAAACAGTGTAAATCAGTTACACAACCTATTAGAATACGTTTCTTAAGAATACCAGCAAATTTTATCAATCATTACTTACTCCGAGCACCAGCTTTATTATCGTGAAAGCTGCCGCAAAGCGCTATAATATGCATTTCTTAACATCGATAATAATTGAAAAAACTATATTTTCCACATTTATGCTTCTTCGTTCACTGCGACTTTTGCAAGTGGAAACAACATGAGCTACACACGTGTACTCGTTACTTATATCGCATACAGAAATATATCGTAAATACTCAATTGAAATATATTCTCACAAAAATAAATCACAACAGCTTTTAATGTACACATAATATTCAAATTTACACATCTGAACAATTAATCATCAATTATGGTAACTATTTACTTTGGATAAGATATACAATATTTATTTGGCTCTTAGTGATTGCTGGCGGACGAAGTCATTTCCATTTTATTTTGTAAACATTAAACATTAATAAACATGCATTATGAATGTATCAGAACGACATATACACGTATGTAAATGCTGGGGTATCTGCAATTAAAGCACTGGAAACCCGCGTAGGGCAAACCTTTTTGGTCTAGGGATCAATTCCATGGTGCGGATGAGCTCTGCGTTCACCATGTCTGCAGCAGTTTTTTGGTTTCAGACTCGTAGTCGTAGATTTATGCTAAACGCGAATAACACCAAATAGCTACAATCTATGGATTATGTACCTGCCACAAAAATGTAGTGTCCTCATTTTAATTAAATTTTTTATATCACATGTGTAAACCGATTGAAAATTGCACTTGTTCCTCATACCAGTATACTTTGCTTGTAATATAATTATTGTTATAATGGCTCAAAATGCTCCAATTTATTGGTATGCTGCGAAATTTAACACGCTTATGTTAAGAGTTGGGTTGAGCATTTCATTCAACTGCAATGCTGCACCTAACACAGCTGCTGCAGAGGCCAAATGAAGGGCAATGCATTTTATACAGGTAACGCTTGTTACACCTGTTGCTTATAACTTGGGGAATTCTTGCTTCTTTTTATTTTAATTGAATATTCTAAAAATTTTCGGTTTTGTTTTATAATTTCAGAACGACATTGGCAATTGAAACTCTGCTCTGTGTAAACTGTCGATGATCTTGTGATCATCTAAAGCTTAATTGTGATTAGCAAACTAGAAATTATTTATATGTATGATAATATTACTTTGTTGGTTATAAGTAGAACTTCTCAATGCAAACATGTTCTTATCGATTGCCCCGCCATTGATGGACTTTGAAGACGAATTGATATGGATTAACCAACTAAGCAATCAAAATCTGACTGTGTTATATGATAAATCAAATTATGTTACGCCCAACACGAAACTCCTTATAGAGCAAGCATTCATCCAGCCTCTCAGTTTGCAAGATCAGCAAATTCTATTTGATGATCTGCAAAAGCAAAACAGAAATATTGCACATCAATATGGACTGACACCGGCTAAAGTTCGTATATTTTATGTTCCTTGAAATATTGTTTATTAAATTGTAATCTTCTATATTAATATAGCTACCTCAGCTTGTTGAAAACAATCCACTCATTTCGATTGAAATTCTACTGAAACTTATGTTAACTACCGACATAACAGAATATTTCAATATTTTGGTCAATATGGACATAACTCTGCATTCAATGGAGGTGGTTAACAGGTATATAAATTGAATATATTTTATTTTGAATATTGTAATTAAAGTCATCTTTTTTTTATAGATTAACAACTTCTTGTCCGCTGCCGACTGAATTCATTCACTTATACATTAGCAATTGTATTTCTGCTTGCGAGACCGTTAAGGACAAGTACATGCAGTCGCGCTTGGTTCGATTAGTTTGTGTTTTTCTACAATCCCTGATTAGAAACAAGATTATAAATGTTAAGGTGAATAAAACTAAAAAGAGAACTGAACAAAAAACTAATTACATTATAATAATACATTATATGTTTCAGGTGCTGTTTATTGAAATTGAAGCGTTTTGCGTTGGGTTTAGTAAAATTAAAGAAGCTGCAGCTTTGTATCGCCTAATAAAACATTTGGAAACCGGAGATACCATTCAAACCGCAAATTCCTTAGCGAAACAATGATTTTAAAGCTGTAAATAATAAAACAAACTTTTAAAAATGAACAGCTTTGTTTACATCCATATTCAAAGGGTGAATACGGAATACACGGTTGGTTATAAATCGATGGCGTCTTTGTTTCAATCAATTAATAAATTTCGGAGTTCAATGTCAAGCGACTTTATTTTCATTACTTAAACAAGGTAACGTCTTAATATAATAGGTCAAAGCATGTTCAATCCAATCAAAAATAAGTAAATTTACAAGTAGGTATATTCTACTGTCTTCTTATACAGAAATATTATAATGTAAATTGAAAACATGCATAAATATGTCAAAGAAAATCAAACTAAATAGCACACAATATCGCTTCACTAGTCCGGTCACGGCAAAACTTTCTAAACCTTAAAAACTTTATTCTAAGGAAATGTGATCAGGTTCCTCATTTCGATGAAATCTTTCCCACATTCGTAAAAACAGATTTTCTAAGCCTTTGGCGTATTGCGAACAATCAAACAGTGGACTATCGACGCGTGCCTTCCATACTTTAGCTCTTAAAGCCTTTAAGTATTCTCGCTCTGTGCCCAACCGAATGGCGATGTCCTGGTATTCCTCTCTGCTCTGTGCTATTAACTCGGGACATCCAAGTGTCGCCAATTGTGATGCTGCAACCCTGTAATTTAAGAAATATAGAGTTTAGTTAGTGCTTTATCTTGATAATAAAGTCTTATTGTTAAAACGTGATTGAGTTTATATCAAAGGAGAATTAAGATAGATGACATTTAAGCTAACTATTTACCTGGAAGCTAACGTTTCTCCGGGTAATGTGACGACTGGAGTTCCTGTCCATAAGACATCCATGGATGTTGTGTGACCATTGCATAGTGGGGTATCTAGGCATATATCAGCCAATTGACCACGACGTACGTGCTCTTCCTTGGCAGCTACGTTTGAGAAAATTACTCTATCAGACGAAATACCTAGAAGTCAAAGAAGAAAATTCGTTACAATCCAATCCTCTCTATATAGTTTTACAATTTATTTACTTACCCAAGTCGCTGACGGACTTTTTGATATTTTGCTCGCCAACTGCCGGAAAGCGCAGCAGCCACAAAACAGATTTAGGCACATTTTTCAGAATGATTACCCAAGACTGTAGAGTTTGTGGATCGATCTTGTAGAGTTGGTTAAAGTTGCAGTAGACTATAGCGTCATCGGGCAGCATATATTGACGACGAGTGGTAATAACAATATTTTGGGGCACCTCCTCTCCAGTCGCTGCCTTATTATTTGTCTGTGTGGTGGCCAGTCCGTTTTGCACAACAACTCCATTGAGAGACGTTTGCACCTGGCCAGTGGCAATCATGGAAACCAACTGTGTGGTGCTTGGCAACTCCGCGACTTTCAACGTGATTTCTACCGGCTTATGTGCATTGACCACTTCCTTAATCTCTTTCACAGCTGTATTCTCAACTAGCGGCGATAAGTCTGTCGCATTTATGACGGCAACGTTGTCCATCACGCTGTTTGATTGCTGCTTGTCGCAGACGATGAGGCGCTCCTTTAAATGCGGAAACATTTGCTTATGATCGCCAATGAAATATGTGTAAGGCATGTAGGACAGCTTTTCACTGTACTGATGGGCCAATTCCATGGGACTAGTAACTGCATCAGTTATAATATAATCCATGAAGCTTGCTCCGCTCGTGCCTGGATAGCCCAACCACATCACTTGAATCGGTGCAGGTCGAAGGGCAAATATCTCGTTTCTTGCTCCCTTTGTGTAGCCATTCATATTGACCAAAATGTGAATGCCATCATTGTAAATCTGATCAGCTGCTTTACCGTTGCATGGAATGAGAGAAAGATCCACAAAGTGTTCAGATTCGCGTCCGATCTTATTACGAAATGTTGTGCCGTCATCCGGACTGAGGGCATAGCAGAAGATCTCCACTTTGGAACGGTCGTGCAAGCCGGGTATAGACTGCATTAAATGTGAGGTAGGATGATTTCCGAAATCAGAGCTCAAATAGCCAATGCGTAACCTGCCGTCTTTTGGCAGCTCCCTTGAAAAGTTATATGGCTGCTTGTGCAATACATGGACTTTTTCCAAACATAAATTGGCATGCCGCGCCGCAATGGCCTTGCGAAACTCGTGTGTTAACGGATACAGCATCGAGTGATGCGGGTGCACAGACGGCAAACGGTTCTTCTCGAGCTGCTCGGCCACGATGCTGACCAATTTTTTCATTCGTACATCGTAGTCCGTCCAATCGCACACGATCTGCAAGCAGTGAGCCAGGTTGCAATAGGCATCGGGAAAATCCGGTTTTAGCTTCAGAGCTGTGCGGTAAGATTGAATTGCTTCGGGAATATTGCCCGAGTCTTTATGGATGCTTGCCAAATTGCTGTGGGCATCGGCAAATGCTGGATTAATCTGTATAGCACGTGTATAGCATTGCAGTGCTCCGCTAACGTCCTGCAGCTCCTTTAACGTATTTCCCATATTGGAATAAGCATCAGCGAATGTCGGCTGAATTCTTATTGCTTCCTTATAATGCATTAGAGCTTCTTTCAGTTTGCCCTGCTGCTGCAAGACAGACGCCAGATTCGAGTGCGCAGCGGCAAAGTCCGGGAAAACTTCGAGGGCCTTTAAGTAAAGCCGTGTCGCTTCCTCTATAAATCCTTGTTCTCGCTTGATGTTTGCCAAATTGTTCAACGAATCTGCATGATTTGAGCATAGTCTGAGAGCAGTATTATAACATTCTTCGGCATCTTTGACCTACAAATAATAATTGATTATTTAACTGTATATTTAAATTGTCAAATATAAATATTCACCTGTCCTTTCTCCTTAAGTGCATTTGCCAGATTACAGTATGCATCGGGGAAGTTCGGCTGTAGCTCAATAGCTCGCCTATATGTGTCAATCGCCAGATCAATGAGGCCTTGTTCATAGTAAACACACGCCAGATTTCCATGCACGACTGCATTGTTGGGCGATAGATTCAGCGCACGCAAATATGCTGCCACAGCCCTGAAGTAAGATCAAAATCAAATAAATGTATTGAAATATTGAAATGCAAATCCATTGGTTTATAAAATTGCCTAGGGATGTCAATAAATGACCCAAGGTCCTGATTATTCCAATTTCAAATGATCTTAGCTAACAATTAGTGGAGTTGAGATAATTGGATATTCGGAAATGAATTAATTAATATCAATTGTATAGACAATAGGCAATCTTATCACAATACAACGTAGATAATCCATAAATAAACCGTAAATCCGTTTTATATTCTGCCAGGTCTGTCTAATCTTCCAAAGCATATATATATATTATAAATATAAATATATTTACCGTTTCCAACAGAGTCGCACAATATTTATGTAACGTTTCAAATAGTTTTTATTACTTATAGGCGTGATATACTCCCTTAAATCGTATTGATTATCTACTCTAATGCGAACAATTGTATAAATAATTATGCATTGGCAGTCCATGTTTATACCAGCAGCAGCAGCAGCAATATTTTTGCATTTGCATTTATATTCATTTTCAAATTTTTATATGAACTTGACAATGAATTACTAATTGAAAGGTCTTACACCAAAATGCAAATGTTATTTAGTATATTAAATACAAACACATTTTCGCAATGCAAAACTTTATGTATATAAATTTTAAAAAGCATATGACATGCGAAACAACCGCAGAGAACGTTTGATAATGAAATTTGTATATGCGAGAAATGTTCTTGAATCTATTTTTTATACCCTGCATGGAAAGACATGCGTGGGCACGATCAAGTAGTCGCGACTTCATGGCCAAATGACATTTTATTTATAAAAAACAGATTGTGCGTGACATAAACTGATTTTAGGTCATGTCAAGAAGAATTTTAACATTTTTTTTATTATTTAAACTATTTAATTTGCATTAAACAATTTCAGTTTAGTTTAAAATTGTTGTTTGCCAAGAGCTAACACTTACATAACTATATTGATCTATTTCTATTTTAAGCTATATAGATTTATTGATCTGTTTCTATTTTAAACTATATAGATTGAAATGCCTAAGCATCCTTAGTTTTTCATATAAAATACGAGAGCCTGACTACAGGGCATCTTCGTGTCTACTACTCAAATGCATACGCTTTATTTTTGAATATATAGGAAAAGTTTCGAAAATTTTGCTGGCCGATAGGAACTTATTACACATTTATACTCTTAAGTAATGCAGATATATTTTCCAAGTCGAAATATTCAAATAATTGATGTAAGCGTAAACAGTTTTCTGCTCAAGTACGGAATGAATCAGAATTCTATAAACAAAAAAAAACTCCATATTTGCTTTGAGTATGTATATAGTTATTTATAGAATGCCAAGAAAATATACGAGGGCCGCCCCATCAATTAATATTATAGCGTAGCCAAAATCAAATGTGCTTTAGTTGATTGAAATTTATTTCATTTTTCTTGCAATTTGGCACACGCCCAATGGGCGTGACATGAAACCTTAGTGACGTCAATCATTAATGTATGCTATATGAAAGATTTAGTATGTTCGATTTGGCAGTAAAGATCTAGGCTAGGCTAGGCTAGGCTATGCGTCCTGGACAATTCTCAATGTTAAATCCCTAGCCATAAAATGTTATGCACTTACCACAAGGTTGCCCCTGTACCTCAGTAATATATTTAATTGCAGCAACACGCTTTTAAACAATTATATTCACTTGCTTCATTGAGTCACTTTCTGTATCTATCATAGCACCCTATTGCATATTGACGTCATAGTTGGAAATCATTCGTACTGCCCTCGTACATAGCTATCAACAGCCACACACACAAATAGGCAATAAGGGAATAATATTTTGCACAGCACGCATAAAAGCGATCGCTCGAACAATATTTATCGATCTATTTAGCCTACATATTAAACATTTGAATTCCTTTTTCTAGTACTGCATAAAACGATCAAGGAAAAATCAATATAGGAAAAGATTAATATTATTCTGTTGTAATTAAACCAAACTATCTTCGAAAATTAGGAAA